GGAGCTGGGTGCCCAGAAGAGGACACTAAGCATCTGGGAAGGGCTCATGGAGGTTCAGCATGAGTCGAGGTCCTCGGCCATGCCACCAAAGGCTTTGTCATGGCTGTGGTGCACCGTCAGAAGGAGAGTCTGTTGGAGGGATTTGGTCGCTGCTGGAGAGAGCCCATTGCATGGGAGGGCTCAGAAATGGAGTGCTGATCCTCTACTGGCTGTGCTTGGATCCATCGGCTTTCAGCGCTCCATGTGTATGAACCAGGCTGGAGTCGGGGAGACAGCAGCTCTCCTGCCACCCCTCCCCTTCCCTCTTGTTAAGATGCAATTTCTTTAATGAGGAAAACCTCTTGAGTAGGAACATCACCTTTCTGAAGGCTTGTCCTGACAATGCAGTTCAAGCCGACAGAGTCGCATATCAACTTCAGCAAATATCAGTCACTCATTACAGAGACTCTTCTCCTCCCCCCACCCCCCAGCAATACCCCTCGTTCCCAGACAAGGGAATGAATCACACTTCTGCTCCTGAATACATCATGACAAGTCATGGTTCTAATGAGAGAGGGCCATTCATTCTGGGTGGAAAGTTCCCTGTGTCGACACAGAAATGTTATTAATTAAAGAGAGCTACCTGAAGCAAAAGATGAAAGGAGCAGCAGACCTGCCAAGCTAAAATATGAGTGGGGATACAGCCTCGTTAGGCACACGGTCCTCGGGTCTCTGCGTGCTCAGCGGGAGGATTCCTTTAGCCTGTTGCAAGGAGCTATCCTCCAAGTTTAACAGCGCCAGGGATGGATTCAGGTACCTGGCGTAGTCTGCTTTAGTGCTTGGACCTCATCCTGCACCTAGGATGGAACTGCTGCTGGTCATTAAGTAAATTGCATTGATGTGACGTTAGGTGGTGAGGGTAACATGCCTCTGAAGGGCTGAAGGAGCCACTGACTGCAGGAGACTGTTTTAGTGGAAAAGAGGGTACTTGGTGTCTGCCGGGGTTGAGCCCTTGCAATGTAAGCTCTTTAGTGTGGTTTGTCTCCTCTGAAATGTCAAATTGCCTCCCTCCATGTATGGAACCGGTTTGCCTGCTCTTAAACACAATGTGAATTAATGTTGGCAACCAAAGAAGCATTTTTATTGTGTGTTCATAGCTACAGAGCTCAGATATGATGAGGTTAAGTGATATGCCTGTGGTTGTGCAGGCAGAGGCAGAGGCAGAGAAAGGAGCTGAAACCAGATGTGCTGAATCTCAGAACTGCACCTTGATGTCAAGAGCATCAGTTAATCCTTCTCCTTCCAGTTTTGGATCATTCTGCAAATGCATTGAACATACATAAAAATGCATGTAGGCTTTGGTCTGCATACCTCTGACGTGAAGGTGCTTGTACTGCACTTACTGTGGCTGATCAGAACATGCCAATTTATGTCTTAACAAGAAACTACTGTTCAGAAGTTTTTTATTTTCTTAAATAAGTGTTAAAAGGCAAGTATTCTCTAATATAATGATAAAACACAGTGAAGTGTCTTGAAGTGTTTATAGCCCTTGGTGCTCTTCCTAGGTTGTATATTAGTAAATTCTGAGCAGTAAATTATGCGATTGCTTAATTTTATCTTACTGTTTTAATTCTTTCTTTGCAAGTTACGCAGGCTGAGAGGATGCTTGCCTTCTCAGACTAGCTCTGAGTGTGACAATGGGTTGCTCTTTCCAGTCTTCTGTCCTGGAGGCTTGGTTTGAGATCAGCCTTAGGTCATGAATGAAGAAGGATAGATGGTGTTAGTGTCCCTTGTGCATGCTGTTCTTTATCACAGGACTAGGAGGGGGTTGGTAGCCTCTGCCTGCCTGGGGGAGAAATTGCAGACAGCCACGGAATGGAGTGAGTGGGACTGCTTTCGTAGCCGTGGGGAAAGGCAGAAGGCATAGGGTGGGCTGGTTGGGTGGCAGCAGGGCAGGAGATATGTTCAGAGGGTGGCTTT